TAAAGAACTTGACTCAAGTATAGATAGTACTCAGTACACTATTTAACAACTAAGCAATAGCCTCATTACTATTAATAAACCCTAAGCCGTAACAAAGGGCTCCAAATGTGGCCTCTGCAATGCACACCAAAAGTACAAACAGGGACACCATCCATGCGCAACATGGCACTGTTAGTACTCTGATATTTTTCGGCTGTTGATGGAATCAGCCTCTCTGAGAGCTACCACAGAGTTCGGGAAACCTGACTACCAGCCGGCCTCAGAACCATAAAACTGAGTTTTAGAGCTGTACCCTCATTAGGAGATAATAGAATGAGTTGCCCAGTCATAAAAATAGAGACACAAGCAATACCCACGCATTGAGTCAAGAAGATCCAGCGTTCAACATCCTAAACTGGAAACAATGTATTAAAAATACATCTGCGCCAGCCTAATAGGTGAGGAAGGGGTGCGAGGCTGGTCAACAGATAGAATCTGTTTACCCCTTAAGTCTTTGCCTAGGAGGCCTTCTACAAGACAGCAGCTGGATGCATGTAACATCTGCCCAAGATGAGTATTTTTATCGAGACACCATCTCTAGCCTTTACTCAACCAAGAGCCCCAAGGCAGGGGGTGTTTTAATTCGGAGTTAACTTCTCCTAGCCTTTGCCTAAAAAAGCGTATTCTACAAGGCAGCAGGACATGGAGCAGGTTGTACTGGGTTACATGTTACCAGTAGCAGGAAAACCTGACCTGACCTTAAATATATGTATATATATACATACAGGAGGAAGCTGTTATGGCAGCTGTTGCTGATGTTCGAGACAATTATTTTTCATCGAAAAAGGCAAGTTTAAAATATAATGTACCTTCTCAGACAATCGGTGATAGAATAAATGACAGATATGGTTCTGCCTTGCAAAAGATAACTTAGAGTTGTTTAAAACATTTATCAACTTACTGTGCTAAATGTAATTCTCCATAAGCAACAAAATTGCATAAGATTTTTTCAGAAGGTATCATATTTTTTTTACTTAAAGGTCGCAAACCAGCTTTAGAAAAAGAGGACAAAGAAAGAATAAAAGACTTTTTGATTAAAGCAGCAAAAATAGGATATGGTATTTGCCAAGACGATGTACCAAGCATAGTAAAAAATTATTTAGACATTAAAAAACCCTAACCCTAACCCTAACCCTGAATACTTATATTTATTAATAAAGAAAACGTTCTTTGATAGTTTGCAAACCTCTCTCTCTCTCTCTATATATATATATATATATATATATATATATATATATATATATATATATATATATATATATATATATATATATATATATATATATATATATATATATATATATATATATATATATATATATATATATATATATATATATACACATATAGAAAAATGATTAGTCAAAAAAAAATATTTTCAAGATTTATTTTTTTTGTTCCTGAAATTCCTGAGAATTGTTCCTGAAAGTTAAATGTGTATCTAACTACAATAACAAAAACAGATTTAGAATATTTAAACATTTTGTCAAAGTTAATTATAATTTGTTTCTTGTAAAATGTTTTAAAAGTAGAAACATTCTATTGAAAACATTAAACCAGTGATTGCAAATGTTAAACAAAAAATTAAATTATAAAAAATTTGAATTAAAATCAATAAAGTGTTTTACTTCAGTTTAAAAAAATTATTTTCTGAAAAAACAATTGAAGCATATTAAAGATAAACTTAAGGAAATATAATTTGATTTATTAAACAATTTTTTTTTTTTTTTTTTTTCACTGCTAAACAATTAAAATAAAAAATTGAATGAAAACATCAACTTTGAAACCATTTGAATGAAAAACTTAATTATACATAACTTTTTGATAATACGCTAGATTAAAAAGCAATAAATTATAAAAAACATGGTATCAAATATTTTTTTAATCTGACTTGTTTGGTCTATAGATTATAGGCTAGTTTGGTCTATGGGCATGTTTTGCAAAAGTATGAAGTATAAAGTTTTATGACAGTATTGTTTTGATTTATTAATTAGAACTCAACAATCGTCATCATCAAGTTCTCTAAACCTATCATTCACTAATATTCGAGGTCTTTGAAGTAACTTTCTTCTGTTCAGTCTTATCTCTTTAAAAGTTGACCAGACCTCCTAGCTCTTTGTAACACTAACTTGAGTTCAGCTGTCTCATCTTGTGATCTTGGTGTTGATGGTTATCTTCCTTTATTTCATAAAGACTCCAATAGTCACATGCTTGGCCTGGGCATTTACATTCGTAAAAATTTACCCATTTGTCCGGAAACTAGGTTTGAATCCACAGACTATTCTTTTATGTGCTTTCGTTTAGCACCACTTCACTCTATTGCCTTTCTCTTTGTTCTATATCACTCTCCTTCATCTCAAGACTGCACTCTTTTTGATGATATTTCTGCTCAAATTGAATTAAAAGCCCTCTCTCTTTTTCCATTAGCCAATATTGTTGTTGTTGGTGACTTTAATACTCATCACACTGAATGGCTTGGCTCTAGTGTCAGTGACTCTGCTGGTGTTAAGGCCCTCAACTTTTCCCTTTCTTAATCTCTAACTCAAACAGTTAACTTTCCAACTCGCTTTCTAGACAATCCGAAACATTTACCTTTTCTACTCGACATACGTCTTGTTTCTGATCCTAGTCAATGCTTAGTTTCTCCACATTTACCATTAGGTGCTTCAGATCACAGCTTGATCTCTCTAAAACTATTATCTCATTCTTCTTCATCATCAAAATCCCCCTATCATTGTAACTCTTACAACTACCTTAAAGCTAGCTGGGACTCTTTCTGTGATTTTTTTAGCGAATGTCCTTGGGTAGAAATCTTTTATCTTCCTGCAAATAAATGTGCTTCTAACATAACTTCGTGGATTCAGGCTGGCATGGAATCATTTATCATGGAATCATCTCTCGAGAATTACGGGCCTCACTTTTCGGGTCAAGCCTCACCATGGTTTTCTTCACATTGCGCTGCTGCAATTTCCAATCGAAACCATTACTTCCAAATCTATCAGAAAAACAATTCTCCAGAAAACAGATGTCTACTTTCTATTGCTAGAAACCATTGTAAAAAAACTTTGTCTAACACCAAAGCCTGCTATTCTAAGGTCATTAAATCTCTTATTTTATCTAAAAAATTTAGCTCTCGTGACTTCTGGAAAATTTTTAACAATATCAATAATAAGGGCAAATCTGTTGATCCACCTCGCTTGTATGGTTCAGACTTTGTCATCTCACCTAAAAACAAAGCTGAATTGTTTGCTAAGAACTTTTCATCAATATCATCTCCTGATTCTGGGAGTCATGTTCTATCTGATATTGCTGACAAACAGGTTGATCCATTGCTTGACATTTTTATCACTCTAGCTTCTGTATCTAAAGTGATTCCCTGCTTATACTCTTCTACAGCTTGTGGTCTCAACATACTTGTTGTAGTTTTACAAAAGTGTTCTCTGGGAGTGTTCTATTCATCTATACTTTCAAAACTATTTAACAAGTGCTTATCAGAGTCTTGTTTTCAAGCTTGCTGGAAAGTGGCATCTGTTATCCCTATTTTCAAAAACTCTGGAGAGCAATCTAATTCTTCTTCCTATCATAAGCAAGGTTTTTGAATCTTTAATTAACAAATACTTAATCTCTCATCTTAAATCTAATAACTTATTTTCTGATCATCAATATGGATTTCAATCGTTCTACAGCTGATTTGCTAACAGTAATAACCAATAGGTTTTATTGTGCATTATATAGAGGCGGAGAGGTTAAGGCTATTGCTCTTGACATTTCTGATAAAGTTTGGCATGCTGGTCTTCTCCATAAGCTTTCTTCTTACAGTGTATCAGGTAATATCTTTAAGATTATTGAACCATTCCTTTCCAATTGTAGTATAAAAGTGTCCTCGATGGACAGCACTCTTGTTTATATTCTGAAACTTCAGGGATTCCTCAAGGTTCTATCATTGGCCCTATACTCTTTTTAATTTACATTAACAATCTTCCAGATATTCTCACATCTAAGGTAACATTGTTCACTGATGATACTACCATTTATTCTTTTCTTGATAAGAAGCCAACATTCTATGGTTGCTTGGAGGGGGCATTTACGCTTGAAAAGGATCTCACTTCTGCTCCAGCATGAGACTCACAGTGGCTGATGAACTTTAATTTAAATAAAACCCAATTTTTTTTTCAGCTATTTGTTATTGCAATAGTTAAGACTTTCCAGTATTATGAATTGTGTGCTCGGTGAGTGAACTACTCTTTGTCTTCTAGGGCTGTCTCTTAGTTTTGGTCTTTCTTGGAGGTTGTGTCTTTCTATCGTGCTTGACACTTTCTTACTCCTGATTCTATTCTTTATCTCTATAAATCTTAAATCCATCTTTGTATGAAAATATGTTTCCATATCTGGCGCAGACTTTCCAATGATGCCCTTTCTCTTATAGACAAGGTGCAAAAACGCATTGTAAACATAGTTAGACAAGCTCTTTCAGCCAGCCTCTACTATTATCACATCATTGTAATCTTAGTACATTCTTCTCTTTCTCTTTTCTACAAGTACTATAATAGGCACTGCTCTAAAGAGCTAGGGCCTTTTGTGCTATCTACTAAATCTCATTCTCATCATTCAATCAAGTCTCATCCTTTTTCTGTGAATATTCCTAAGTGCTCCAAAAACTCTTATTTGTTTAGTTTTTTTCTTTTGGAATACGTACAACACACAAATATACATATATACAAAAACTCTTATTCATTTAGTTTTAATTCTTTAGAATTCGTACAACACACAAATATATATATATATATATATATATATATATATATATATATATATATATATATATATATATATATATATATATATATATATATATATATATACTTAAATAAACTTACTTTTACAGATTTAGTACTTTCATGATAAAAATTTTCATATCTAATTATAACAATTAAATTTTTATATTAAAAATAAAGCATTACCAAAACTTTTCTAGATCTGAATATTGCAAACTCAAACAAATGCCAATTGCCTCAAATGTATCACAAATGTTGCTCTAAAACCAAAGTCATATAAGTTAACAGCAGTGTTTTGAATTATGTAAAAATTTTGTTTAGATGATTTTAGTTAAAATTAAATCATGTACTAAATGAATTAAAAGTTCCAATTGATTTTACAACTCCTACTTCAGCCATCATTTTAAAACAGAATTTATAATGAAAATGAAACTTAGAACGAAGCAGGATCTATTGAAATTTTGCGATTGAAACAATTTTTTTCAGTCTACAACTTGTAAATTGAAACCTTAGTAGTGTATGAGTTTAAACATTAATATAATAGCATTATATATAGCATTAATTTAAAAATACTGTAGTAGTGGTGTAGTGGTAGAGCACTCACCTCATAAGCATGAAGTTCCGAGTTCGATCACCACCACAACCTTAGTAGTACTCAACTTGTTTCTCTGCGCAGTGGCCTTGTTTGTCAAGGTTTGTATTTATTATTGAAGTTTAAAAATTTAATTATTCAATGAAGTTATTTAATGAAGTTTAAATTTAATTATTCAATATTAAAAAAATAAATTACAAAAATAAACATTCCTTTATAGTTTCAATAAAAAAATAAATTTAATAACATTTAACTCATTTTTGCCATAATTTATATTATTGCAGTAATTAAAAAAAGTAAATGTTTTAAAATAAAAAAATAGAGACTTTTATGACATCAAATTCAAATTAGGTTATTGCGTTAAGAATTTTTTATTTAGAACAAGACCTGTAATATATGCAAACATATATTATGATAATAATAATAATAATAATATTTATTTGCATTAAAATTAAATACAAAAAGGTGAGACAGGTAATCACAAAATTACACTTATGTAACACCACTAATATAAAAATGGACACAGATAATTACAATACAAAGTAATAGAGTATGCAATTGCGTTGTAAATAATAATTATTTAACTTTCTTTTGAACATTGATAAATAAGGAGAATCAACAATGTGAGCTGGTAAGGAATGCCATAATTTTACAGTTCTTTCGCTGAAGAAGAATTTACCACAATATATTGTGTGATATAAGTTTTTTAGCGTGACATCTGGTATTATAGTGAGAGTTGGAAAAGGTAAAGATATTGGAAAAAGGCAACAAGATAGTGTACAATTTTGTATACCATAACAAGATCAAATTTAACTCTATGGTATTCAAGAGAATCGAGATTTAGAAGAATTAGTGTCGATACGTAATCAGAATAAAAAATATGGCATCTTTTACAGCTAATTCTGCTGAAGTATCTCTGAACATTTTTGATACAAAAAATATCTTTTAGAAGATAAGGGCTCCACAATGGGGTACAAGACTCTAAAATAGGTCGAAAATAGACTTTGTAAGCTTTTTATAAGAGATGAGGATCGTTACTGATAAAAGTTTTGAAAAGTAGGTAAAGACGAGAGTAGGCTTTTTTGGCAATACGAGAACAATGCTTAAAGAATTTTGTATCCGGTGATACAGTAATACCAATATCATCAATTCAGTTAACAGTATTTATTGCGGTATTGGAACAAAATGAATATAAGGAAACAGGTAAAGAACACTTCCCAAAACATATGTGAAAACATTTATTGAACACTTTTTAGTTGCCAATAAGTTGTCCAATCGTAAAAGTTTTTTAAGGAATTTACAAGTTATTAATGCTTATGCTTTTATCTCTTTATCGGTATAATTTGATATCATCTGCAAACAGCTTAAATCCATAGTCATCCTCAATAATCAAGATTATATCGTTGATAAATATTAAAAATAAAGTGGAAGCCAATACAGTTTATTGAGGTATTTTACTTTTGACAGATATGTAATTTGAGTAAGAATTACTAATGAAGACACATTGAGATCGGTCAGTTAAAGAGTTTGTAATCCAGTATAGCAGTTTGTGCTTAATGCCATAAGATTTAAATTTGTGCAATATTTTGGGATGTGAGTCAGAATCGAAAGCCTTTTCAAAATCAATATAGATAATATCAACTACCTTATGCTTATTAACAGCCGAGGTCCATTCATTTAGAGAAGCTAACATTTGTGTACATGTGGATCTGCATTTTAGGAAGCCAAACTGATGGATAAAGATAAAGTTATTCAGCAGAAGATAACTTTTTAAGCTTTTGTCGATAATAGACTCCATAACTTTGCAAATGATACAAGTAATAAAAAGAGGTCTGTAGTTAGAAGGTAAGGAAGGGTTACCTTTTTTGAAGATTGGGAAGATTAACACTGATGTGGTACCATTGTCGGAGACAAACACTGAAACAAAATAGTTATTTAAAAGGGTTGATTTTTTAGAATCATCAGTGCAAAGAAAACCGTCCAATTTTATAAGAGGCGGAAAAGAATTCGAACAGGTAGATTTGGACTCGATGTATGAGTAAAATTGCATTAAATTAACTTTTTCTACAATTTATTTTTCACTAACAATACAGTTTCTAATAATCATAGCATCGTATAAACGGGAACAACTTTTGTAATTGAAAAGAACGAAAATATCATGTGATCTTTTATAATGTCTGTACAAAATATGTTTTTTAGACGCTAACTAGTGAATGGCATAGGGTTGAACATGGTTTGTTTTAGAACAAAGTACGGGAACATGAGAATATATAGAAGAATTCAAGATATCACAAATAGGTATTATTTGGTATTATTTAGCATAAACCAATTTACATTTATTAAGTCATTTTAAATCAAATTATAATCGGCTTTGTAGAAGTTGCATTTACTTGATATTTTACGAATTTTGGAATTCATCAAGATACAATTAAATTGGATAGTATAGTGGTCACAAGTGCTAGTAAATGGGGCGGTAGTATCCACATTGAAAACCAGTTTAATATTTTTTGTTAAAATGAAGTCTAACAGATTGTCAAGTCGAGTAGATTCGACTACGAGCTGAGTGAGAGCATTTAAAGAGCAAGTTTCAACAAAAGAATCATGACAAACATCACCAAAACTAATAGGAATCAACCAATTGATATGTGGTAAGTTTTTACTACCCCACATGTGTTAAAAAAATCTGTGATAACAGCTTTATTGTCTTTAATAACCTACTAAAAAATCGTTTTTTTTTAGGCCTACAACAATTATATTAGATGCGCAATTTATTCTTTCTTTAGATCTGTAGCAACCATATTTATCATTCTATGAGATTCTATAGAAGATTCTTTTAAAACTGAGGCATAAGACTTCAAAGAAGCATTGCAGTTTTTTATCTCAGTCTTTGAGTCAAGATTTTTCAAATCAAAGTTTAGTTTTTCAGTGATAGTATCCTTTGCTGCGAGGTTAGTTTCTAGGATCTGGACTCAATTTTGGAGATTGGAAACATCTTTGATTAATTTAGCTTTGAATGCAAGAAGCCTGTTTTTCAAGGCTTTGTATTCTTTTGCAGTAACCATATAAACTTTTAAATAGTAGCGATAAGTAAATACTTTTACTATTACAATTAAAATGACATCAAGGTGGATGTAATGGTTCGTTGAATACACAAACTTAATTACTAAGTATAGATAAAGTTTAATTTTAAATTTTTTTTACTAACCTTTGTAGATAGATAATTTTATATAGAAAAATAATATTTAACCAAAAAAAATATGAAGCTTTCATGAATTTTTTTGTATAAAATTTAATCAAACAAAAATTTTATTCACTAATCATTATAACTAGCTCTCAGTGTGTACAAATAACAGGGCTCGAATTAACGCAAAAAAATCTAATTGCGAAAAAAAAAAAAAATTTCACACCCTCCCCCCCTTATACCTTGCGCTTCTTTGCGGTAATGAGGGGGGGGGGGTTGAGGGAAGTTGCATTAGTATATAATTGTAACTTTTGTACGTAATTGTTCTACTTTTAATATATTATCTCTCATATTTAAATATAATCTTAAAATTTTCTTGTTCGGCAGAGTTTAAAATAGCGTAAGTTATTGTTATTATTTACAACTTAAGTTATAACTTAAAGTTTAAGTTGCAGTTGTAATAAGCAATAACGTTTTTAATACTGTTAAGATATTTCTATTAAGTATACTTTTTACTTAAAATGCTACTTAAAAAGCAAAAGTAAAAAAGTAAGAGAAAAAACAACATTGCAATATCTAATCCACTTTAATTAGTCAAAGAAAACTATTTAATATATACGTGCTGATGTTAAAACACTTGTTAACTTTAAAAAGTATTTAATTGTTAAAAGCTATAAAACAACATTAAAACAAACTGCAAAGTTGTTTTAAAAATATAAAGAGCTTGGGTTAATGTAAAACAAATTAGTGATGCTGTTTCGTATTTATTTTACTTTTTTTTTATAGTTTAGTTTATAGTTTATTTATACAATTTATAAAATAAAACGCGTTTAAAATAAAAGGAAGCAAATAAATAAAATTGATCTAGTCAATAAACTAAAATAAAACTTCCTATTTGCGCATATAGACCTATACGAGTTTATAATATATGGACCAAACGAGTAAGATCAAAGCATAAAACATTAGATACCACGTCTTTTATATATATAAATATAAATTATCGTTTCCTATTCAAGCATACTATTAAAAATTTAAGTATAGTTCAGTTTTTTATTCAAATGGTTTTTAAACTGATGTTTTCATTCAATTTTTTTTAATTCTAATTGTCTTCCAAAAAAAAGTGAAACAAAAAATTTTATTTAATAAATCGAATTATATTAAGTATAAGAATATGCTTATATTATTTTTTTAGAAAAAAAATTTTTCTAACAGAAGTAAAATAATTTATTAAATTTAATTTAAATTTTTTATAATTTTTATTTTAACTTGCAATTTGCAATCACTGCTTTGATGTTTGCAATAGAATGTTTCTACTTTTAAAACTATTTTCAAGAAAAAATGTATAATTCAAAATGTTAAAAAAACTTACGATTTAAGAAAAAAAAACTTTTTTCTTTTCTCCCTTGTTTCATCAATTTTTTTTTAAATTTTTAATTTTTTTTTAAATTTCAAATTTCAATCACAAAATTATTTGAATAAGTGAATTTTAAGGCTAAAGTTGTTAAATTGATTTATTTTTAAATAAAATTCCTGAAAACAATTGCGTATTTATAGAAAATGTTTAGTCTAGATGTCGCTATAAATAAAATGAAAATATAAAAAAATAGTCAATTTTCCATATTCTATTCGACAACTTTTGTTAAAATAATTATTAGTTAAAAGCATATATTATGTGTTAACAACATGTAAGATCTAAATTGAAACATGTCTATGACTAACTTTTGCAAGTATATTAAATAAATTAATATAATTGTTAAATTAATACTTGAGTAACTGTAGGTTACTATCTTAACTGGTTGTTTTGATTTAGGTTATAAGTTAATTTACTGTGATATACTCTATCCATTTAGTAAAGTTAACTAAATATAACTTCAATAGTTTCAAGGTCGTTAAAGCGAAAAACGTGAAAGCAAAAAAGTTTCTTTTAGCACAATTTTACTAATAGAAATTTTGAAAAAAGTTTGCTTTTAGCCCAATTTTACTAATAGAAATTTTATTTAATAAAAACGAATTTATATATATTTTATTATACTTAAAGTAGTAAAGATAATTATATAAAATTGTTTAAAAAATAATAATTTAAATCATTGTTATTAAGTTACTTTGGAGCAACGTTTCTTTTAAAAAAAGAATAAAATGTTGTTTTGTTAAAAAAATAGAATGAAGAAAAAATTCTTTTTAACTTTTGTCTTTTTAATTTGCTTCTACGCAGAAATTTAAAGTAGTTTAAATTAAAAAGTGCTTTATGCTGAATAAAAATCTCCGCGCAAAAGAGCAAATGATCATTGTTCAAAAGACAAACTTTGCGTGACGTACTTTACTATGAAAACATTACTTTTAAGAATTGCCAAAAAAAAAAAGCTAAATTAGAAAAATAGTAAATAAACAACTAAAAAAGTAAACCAATCGCGAAAATATATGTTTTAAGAAAATACTAATCGCGAAGGTGTAAAAAGTAATTGTGATTTGCGATCGCGATACACCTAATTCGAGCCCTGAATAACATGACAGTATGTACTAATAACATGAAAAGACTATTGATAACTTTGAACCATCTTTTAACAAGCAAGAATGCAACAACTCTCTTCAAGCCTTTTAATGTCTACTTTTTAGAGGCTTTCTATCTCTCACTTTCCTATAATCACTCTTAGTCTCTTTCTTGTTCTCTTCCTTAAAGAAACATTGGACTTTGTTTGTGATTTTGCATTTTATACATTATTCATTACTTATAATGTGGTTTTAATAATGTGGTTTTTATTCTTAAGTTTTGAAAGATTTCAAGCATTATTATTTTTATTATTGTATTTTTTAATATAAACTTTCATATATATATATATAAAAAAAACTTACCAAACACAATGCATTTTCTGATTCTTGATTATTAACGGAATAAAATTGCATATTGGAAAATGTTTTTCTGTTTAACAAAATTTTTAAAAATTTTCAAAATATGAAAAATAAAATAAATTTTAATTAAATTTATAATTTATACAACTTTTATATTTATAAAAATCTTACAACTTTATAATTTAAATAAATTTTGGCAATAACTATATAATTTTTGGCAACAAAATATTGTTGCGATTATATATTTGGCAACAATACAAATGTTGCTATTATATATATATATATATATATATATATATATATATATATATATATATATATATATATATATATATATATATATATATAATGTAGGGGAAAGTGGTGTACCTTAAAGGTGTGTGTAACTTGGAGGCACCTCAAGTGTGCTGCCATCTTAAGATATGAATTCAAACTGAAATTAAAGTTACATGTATTGGCCATTAAAGGCTCATAATAAGTTGTTTTACCACTGCTAAACACATTGGCTGTATTCTTTTTTTTACAACTGTAGTTGTAAATTTTATTTTAAAACTGATTATCAAAATTTGTAAAGCATGTTTTCAGCTTCCATTTATGCATATTTGAAGTTTTTGTCACAGAAATATTACAAAGAAAAAATTTAGTTTGTATGCAGCTGTTGTTTTATGCTTTAAATTTTAAATATATATATATATATATATATATATATATATATATATATATATATATATAATATATATATATATATATATATATATATATATATATATATATATGTATATATATATTTATATTCACGTACAACAAGATATGACATTGAAACATTTAATTACAAATTCCTACAGCAAGGAGATATATAATTCTACAGTAAAACTTCAAGAACAAAAAATTAGAAATGCAATATCAAAAAACCAATTAATCTTTCTTCAAATGTGCGTTTCCAATCATATAATTCCACCGTCGTTAAAAGTAAGATCACCAATTAAATCAAAAAAAGCAGAAAATATTACTAAAGAATATCAAAGAAAGTTATTGATACACGCCCGAAAAGACGTTGTTACATATCATTTATGGCTTCTTTATTATGTCTTCTTTGACGTTTTTATGTAATATTTGTAACGGTTTTTTAAATTATATTTTACATCTGATAACGATCTGTGCAAAAACAGGTCAAAATATTACAAAGAAAAAATTTAGCTTGTACGCAGCTTTTATTTTATGCTTTATATTTTAAATATATATATATATATATATATATATATATATATATATATATATATATATATATATATAATATATATATATATATATATATATATATATATATATTAGGGCCCTGCGAATCAGGATTTTTTTTTCGAATGAAATATCAAATTAAATCAAGTCTTGATCCGAAATTCGAATCAGGAATCGAATCATTATTTTGAAGAAATCTAAACTTAAGCATTTTTTTTTATAATAATTATTTTAAAAAAAAACTTCATTAGGGACTAAGTCTTCACATTCCGTTTATTATTTTATTTTCATTTTTTACCTGTCAATATTCTTGGAATGGCTCGAAGTTATTTAAAGATACTCAAAAACAAAGACATTTGCATTGTATTCCCCTAAAATAACCTAAAGTAAAAAGTAAAAAAGAAATAAGACATAGGATAGGATAAAAAAGAGTTAAAATAACATGTCTTTATTTTTTTGAGCCCAAGTCAAGGTTTCAGCATTATTATTAGGTAGAGAATGACGTGAATAGTTTATTAAGTTTCCACCAGTTGAGTTGACTCATTCAGAAGAACAACTAGTTGCTTGTATGGCTAATACAGATTGCACTGCGTTCAAAAGAACAGGGAAAATATTTTCATTTTTTTTCCAGTATTCAAGTGGGCAATTATCACTAATTTTGGTTTGTGAACAACTGCAATTTCTGTAACAATGCAACTTTTAATGTGTCTTTTTGCAGAATTTAGTTGTAAAAGTTGAAAGTCTAAAAAACATATCAGATTCTTTTTTCTTTAACTTGTTTAAATACATCGTCAAGTAAATTTTTAGATAAGTTTTTAACTTTTTATTTAATTTTTAGAAAAGTTTTTAACTTTTTATTTTTCAGATTCTTTTTTCTTTAACTTGTTTAAATACATTGTCAAGTAAATTTTTAGATAAGTTTTTAACTTTTTATTAATTGATAGAACTTATGCAAGAAGTAGTTTTGCATGGTTTAAAATCAACGGAAATTCCAATTAGATGGTTTTTCACAATTGAAAGCTCGTTTTCAGTGTGAATTACGGCTTTATGTTGAGGGTCTAAATATGTTGAGGTAATGAGCGTAACATTTTCTAAATTAAAGCGTGCATGTAGTTGTTGAAGTAACTCCTCTTTAAAGCTATTCATAAAGCTACAACTTAATGAATCTAATTAAACTTTTAAAGTATAAATGCTTAAAAAAAGGTTTAACTAAACTGATAGCTACATTAGTATCAGAACTAAATAGCGTTGTTGCAACTGAAATTGGTTTTAAAAATGGAATACACTTTTTTTGAATATCTTGCATCGTGACCGATAAAACTTGAGGAGAAGCTTTTGCGCATCTACCACTTAAAGTGCATTCCGTACAAAAAAATTAAATATGCTCAATATTTACAAGTCGAAAAAATTCAGATTAAAAAAAAAAGTTTAACTCTTTTTAAGCTAACATTTTATTAAAATTATTCAGCTATAGCAAATTTGTTGATAAAATTGAACAAAAATACTTTCTTTTAGTTTTAGATTTTTAACTTAAATAATTATTTTACGGGGGTTTGTTAGGTTTTAAAATTATTTCATAGATTTAAAAATATTTATTAACTGTTAGGCATATTTAAAGTATTTAAGAGTAATTTCGAGGAAACATTTTAAAAATTGGTAAGCGCAAATAAAAAAAAATAAAAGGATTAATATTAAAACATATTTCACTTGATTCAATAAAAAAGTACAGTTATTAAATTTTTTGTAAAAAGTAACTAAAAAAAAAATTACTCAAATAATAACAATCGCTTTTTTGTTAAAAGTTACCAAAACTCAACGAAGCGTGCTCAAAAACAGCTGTTGAAAAATAGAACGTCAATAGTTTGATAAGTTTATATAACCTGGTTTTGTTACCTGGTTTCTACCGATGTAAAGCGAATTTCCACAAACACCCTGAAAAAGGCTCAATAAACGTAAAAAAATAAAATAAAAACTAATTTGCAAACTGTAATCATAAGCCATTTCAGAAAACTTAAAATATAAAGTATATCTAAATGAGGACATATATAAAACGTGCATTAATTTTTTTTCTTAAAAAAAAAAAAAATTGTTTTACTACTACTGCTAGTGCAAGTAGATTTTATGTTACTAGAAATAAAATTCCTTGTAAAAATCTATTCAAAATGTTCGTTAAAGTTTTTTATTTTATCAAGTAGATTTTATTTTACTAGAAACTAGATTTTATGTTATATTTTTTAGTACTTGTGCAAGTAAATTTTGCAAGAAATATAACTGGATACTAGTGCAAGTAGTTTGTTATATAAAAATTTTATTTTACTAGAAATAAAATTCCTTGTAAACATTAAAAATCTATTCAAAACGTTCGTTAAAGTTTTTTAGTAATACGAGTGATTGTGCTTATCAACCGCTTTATGAAAATAAATAAAAATAAATAAATAAAAAAATATTATACAAAATCGCTGGTAAAAATATTAGCTATTGCGCAGTTTTTAATCATACAATATTAAAATTTCCAGTTTATTACTTGCTGACTTTTTAAAAAGAAAAAATAATTTGAAGAAACTTTAAATTACATATTTGAGAAAAAAAAAATCAAATATTAGCATATTTTATAATCTTTTTTAAATGTTTAGTTATGTTTTTTATTCGTTTAGTATAGACAAAATGTGTCAAACGTTGAGAAAATAAACAAATGTTTTTACATTTTAAAAAACGAAACATTCCAAAACATTTTTAAATAATAACATTTCTACATTAATGATTTAGAGTAGTTTTGCGGTAATTAAGTAAATTGGTCCAGTTAATGTCGATAAATATGAAAAGCAAATAAAAAGAATTTAATGACATCAAAAATCACGTCATGCTTATGCGTTGACGCATAAGCATGACGAAACTAATTTCTTACAGTATTTTGAAATTGAATATGTTAGGTTTTACTTCATTTTTCCCATAAGTGTTGTTGCTTAATCATTGTCTCTTGTAAAACTTGGGCCACCAGGTCCCACTGTCAATGAAATCTTCAAATGAAATTTACTTCACAGCAAACTTTTGAGGAATTTTCGAGGAACAGTTAATCAGATCAATCATAAGTTTTCATCAGTTTCACAATAAAATTAATAATAAAACAATAAAACTAACAAGAAACACCAAATTTATTTTATCAAATCTCAAAAAGAGCCATTATAAGTCTAACAAGTATGTGAATCTTGTTTTGACAAGTTTTAACAAAGTTTTAATTTCGTCTAAAATTTTGTTTTATATATACTACATAAGCATAGAGCATAATTCATTGGAACCAACCTTCTTCTTCATATATAAAAACATTTTTCACAAAGCAGTGATAAGAATTTCATAGACGTTAACAGCGAGTTGCCTGAAATAATAAGTGAACTGGTGTGTACATTAATGGCACATTAGTCTTGCAATATACACATAATCAAACTTGTTCAGGATTTTTTTTTTGCATTCCTAAGTGGTATTTTTTAGTTTGTTGTAAAACCTTTCAGCGTAAAACCATTTTCCTTTTGTGGACTATAAGCTCTGCTGTTGAGACTCTCTTCTCTTGCCGTTAAAAAAAAAAAAAAAAGATTTTCAATTTAAGCTCCTCACAGGTCACACATCCATCTTTTGCAGGTTGACCAAAACTTAATGAGCAATTTTCTTTGAAATATTGCCAGAAAAATTTGTATGAGAATCTCTATTCTCTGCCAAGTGTAATTAAAATGAAATTTTTATTTCTTTAAAAACATATCAAACTATGACTGTATGTGACTATGCAAACTATGATGAATTGATTATGATGTAAGTGACTATGCAAACTATGATGAATTGATTATGATGTAAGTGACTATGCAAACTATGATGAATTGATTATGATGTAAGTGACTATGCAAACTATGATGAATTGATCATGATGTAAGTGACTATGCAAACTATGATGAATTGATTATGATGTAAGTGACTATGCAAACTATGATGAATTGATCATGATGTAAGTGACTATGCAAACTATGATGAATTGATCATGATGTAAGTGACTATGCAAACTATGATATGTATGACTAGTGCAAAAAATTACTAAGTGATTAAAATTACTGACTTTTTAGAGTATGCAATTATATACAAACACCATAGATATGTTGTAATAGTTTATAAACAATCAATAGTATAATGTAAAAAAGATACCCTTTAAACATTTAATTAATATTCTTGAAATTAAATGAACATCTAATTGACACCTTTTTTAAGTAACAAACTCTTAAGAGAGTGTGGGATTATATACAAACACCATAGATATTATGGTGTCTAAAAAAATATTTTTTTTTAAATGTCTCCTCCTACCCTCTAAATGTGTTCTGTATAGTTAAATAATACTGAAATTGGAAAATCTAAAAACAAAAAATATTTTAAGGGGTAGCTCAAGTTCCTTAAACATCAGACAGGTTCCTAATTTATCAAAAAATAAAGTTCTTCAAAATACATCATGTTGGGTCTTAAAAGAAGCCAAATTATATAAAAATTTCAAAAATAATCAAAATTTTTTAAGAAATATTGAGAGAAAAAAAGTTTTTTTTTTAGAACACCCTAATAGGTATTGCTATAAAAACAAAAGTTAGGTGTTAAAAGGTTATTATGTGAATATATTTATTCAAAGTCGGTTGTTCATTAGATGGCAAGACTTTTAAAATTTTGTTTTAAATTGTTTTTGAAGAAATTTCACTTGCAAATATTCACCATATGTTCTATACAGTTGCAAAGAAAAGATCTTTTTTAAATATCAAAAAATTTTGTGTTAGCCACTGGTAAATTAATATACAAATAATAAAATTTTAGCAAGAATGGCTAGCAAAAAGAAACTTGCTAATCGATTCATTTTGACAGAATAATTTTTGAACAGTTTCTTACAAAAAAAGCGTTTTGAAATGCACACTTTCCAAAAAATTTAAATTAAAATGGTTCATGAAAATTTGTATGAGCAAGATAACTGATATTAATATAATTAAAACTTCAAATAAGTGAAATCTGAAACATTAAAGCTAACATTAGTATATTTAAGAGCAATCCAAATAAATTTGTTTGCTAAAAAAAATTGATTTTTGCTTTTTAATAAATTTTTTTATCAAAGTTGTTAATTAAATAAACAAAATTTTTTTTATTTGAGTTTAGTAATTTTGTTTCATTTTTTATTATAAAATAACTTTAGAAACTTAGTTTTCATATTATTTTATGTTAAATTTGCAATATTGAGATATGTTATTGTGATGTGTTACAGAGATCATAAAATTGTGATATTGTAATGTGTTATTGGGATTTTAAATGTGTAATATTGCAATGTGCTGATTGAAATGTATACAGTAACAGAACTTATAAGATGGTATTGAAATGTATACAGTGACAGAACTTATAAGATGGTATTGAAATGTATACAGTGACAGAACTTATGAGATGGTATTGAAATGTATACAGTGACAGAACTTATGAGATGGTATTGAAATGTATACAGTGACAGAACTTATGAGATGGTATTGAAATGTATACAGTGACAGAACTTATGAGATGGTATTGAAATGTATACAGTGACAGAACTTATGAGATGGTATTAAAAGTTTGGTCAAACTAGTTGTTCTCATTTGAAATAAAATATTGAATGCTAGTTTTTATTTTTTATTATTTTATTTTTACAATGAATGATATAGTTGTTAGTATAATTCAAAAAAAAGTTGAAAAACATTTATTTATGCCTGAGATATAAATGTTCAAAGCTTAATTGAACGAACTTAGGCAATTTTTTATATATATATTTTATTATTTATTTTCATTTTAAAAAATAAAACTGTAGAATTTTTATAAGTTGCTTAAGTGAAGTTAAAATTTCATTACAAACAATTTGGTATATACAGTTTTATTTTTACAACTCTAGCAATCTGGCAATAAACTTTCTTCCAAAGCTTATCAAAAGGGCAAAAAAAAAAAAGCTTGAGCTTATTGTTTTTAAAAAACAACAAAAACACAAATAAATAGACTGGAATATTTTTTTTAATTTTTATTAACAAAGAAAAAACATTCTAAATGTTTTTATTTTTATTTCTTTATTGTTTACATACATCTACTGATAAATAGGTACAAAATGCAAGGAGAAACCAAATCCAATAGTGTAGTTGTGTAAATCGTTTAAAAAACTCTGCAATAAGTACATTTAAATTTTTAAAAAAATAACCATAAAACAAATGTTTTAAAGAGAAAATTTTTTTTTTAATTTGTATAAGATTTTAAAATAAGGGAATTTTTTTTATTAAAACAATATTTGAATTTTATTTATAATTTTTTTATAACAAGGTGGTTTTTAATTTAATCACAATAAGGTACTTAAAATACATAACTGAAGTAATTAAGCTTTTATCAATCTTTATTGAGTAAACTTTTACTCACATTAGGCTTTTCCTTTAGGCAACAAAATCAACAAGGACTGAATATTACAAAATTTAAATTTTGCACATTACAAGATGCAATTTGGAGTATCCACCCTAAAAATAAATCTCTGGAAGTTACATATCTTGAACACCAAAAATCCATGACCTGCTCATTTAATGCCTTTTTTTTTTGAAAGACATCAACAGAATATTTTTGAAATTTAGATATAGTTGTTCAAAGTATCATGTTTTGAAAATGCAAACTATTTCTAGTGGTCACTTTTTTATATAAATTATTTTTGCTATGGTAAGAATAATATTTCATATTTGGTGAAATATCATAAATATCCCATATTTAAAACAATTAATGTTTTACCTCTATGGTAAAACATCATATATTTCAAAAATTCATTTGACATCATCAGGCATGTCTAAATGCCAACATGGCCTACTCAATATATGATCTCATCATACTCTATATAAAGTGTTAAAACTACATGTCAACATAATCTACTCAAGATATGACTCAGGGTTCCTAAAATTAAAACTGAGGCTAAAAGTAAGGATTTTAAGGAGATTTACAGTATCAGACAAAACATGGTGGACAAACTCAAATTTAGAACAACAGTAGATCTAAAACTAAAAAAAAAATAGTAAAACAATTGTACATATTAATTTTTAAATAGTTTATTATGTTCTTAACAAAATTTAAAACATTTGAATCATACTTAGAATCACAAAAAAAATTTATAGCACATTTTTCTCTATAAACGACATTTTTCTTTGAACAAAACAAGGTGGACAAATCAAAACAATTTTATAAGATTTTATTGTCTTCATTCAATTTACCGGATTTTTTTGTTTTTACTTTTATCATAACAGTACTCTAAAATATTAATATTAATTTTGGAACGTCAATT